TTTTTTAACATTTTACTACGATTTTTTCTATACCATATTATGAAAAAATTATCTATATTATATATAGCATTAAAATTGTAGTTTTTTATGGAAGCAATAGAGTTTACATTTTTCTTTCAAAAAAAAAAATAGAGTTTACATTTTTTTGTCAGCGTTATGGAATCTTGTTTAGTAATTTGATATGTGAACTTTTTTTTTGTGAAATGTTATGAATTTTTTAATTATTTATATTTTAATTTTTTATAGATAATTAGGAGACGCTGATTTTTTACAAAAAAAAAGATACAAATAGTCAAATACAATTTGAACTGTTCAAAAGATTTCGTAATATTAGTATATATATTTTTACATTCCATTATAATTAATCAAAATCTTTATTAATAAGAAGTTATGAATAACAATAATTACAATAAAATCTAGGAAAAATCTTTAAAAATTAGCTTAATCCATCTTATTGTTATTGGANTGAGCAATCGTGAGCTTAAATCGAGTCTTTTTCTAAAATTATTTAGTTTAACAATAATTCACATCAATTAAGTAAACAATAATTATAATTCAATTAAAAAGTTATATATTAAGTTATCTTAAACCATCTCATCTTTTTTGACAAACCATGTCATCTTTTTGAACCAATGAAATTAAAACAAATAAGCAAACTTAATAAATCTACTTCTCTTTTAATAGGAAGGGGATTTACTAATTACCTTATTAAAAAAAAACTAGGCAGGTATCCGCACTTGCGCGGGACAACAATATTGAAAAATTAATAGTTTAAGATTGTAATTTGAAATTTACATTTAACACAGTAGCGAACACATAATTTTAATATATTATACATCTAATTTTGATGATATTTCTAAAATTTTGAATGTTGCCTCCACTATCATTGTTATACTACTTTCTAGTATCCATATTTATTATTTTTAGTTACTGTAAATGACATTTTTAATGTTTTATTTATACTTTTTATCAATCGTTTAAAAAAAACGTTTAAAATTATTCATTAACATTATATCATCAATTTTTTTAGAAAGTTAAGAGGTAATAAATCATAACTTGGGAGCCTAAACCCTCACAAATACACGTATTTATTGAAAACAATACATAGATCCTAAAAATTAAACTCGAATATTAAAAACTAAATCCAAATACAAACACGTAAAATATGAATTTTTTTCGTAACCTTATACCATCAAAATTTTTGATTATGGATGAAAAACCTAGCAATAATATATAATCCTTAACAGTGCACATTTGATGTTTTACAAAAAAATAAGCATAGGCTAGAGTTAAATGATTCAATTCTTTGATTCGTCATGGGCACACAAGAATTTTATACCATTTAGAAATTATCTATATCATATTTTATACATGGTCCACACTATCAGAAATCAAATAAATTTTCTATTTTCTTGTTAAACTGAAAAAGAAAAACAAATATTATCTAATTGGTAAATGATGTTAACTAACGCAAGTAAACTTTATAAACAAATATGTATAGTATATATAAAGCAGACGAAAATGCTCGAACACAGATTCACAGTAGCTTCTTGTATTTTCTTAAACGGTTCCAAGCCATATTCTTACATTTTCTTTTGGATTATCGGTGATAGATCAAAATTAATGACAACTCTTGTTTACAATTCTTGGTTTTAAC